TGCACAGTGGTTGGAATCGTGTAAGGAGCTATCCCTGTATGCCGGATTGGTTTTGCTGCGAGGTCTGGAGTGCTTCCGTTGTGTGTGTGCCAGTGGAGCCCCCCCAGTCTGTGACCAGATCCATGATGACCACCAGGGTCCTCCAGGAGATTATTAATATTATATGTGCATTTAACTTGCGCTTCCGGTGAGTGCAAACATACCTCATTTCTTTACCACAAGTCACCTGCACCGAACTATTATGTCGCTGAAAGTGCTGTTATGATTCGGAGCATCATATTGATTAGTATTCGTTCTCATCCATTCACAAGTTTACTGGACTATTTTTGAAAGCACTATATTGAGTTTCATAATTTTTATGATATTGATTCATTTATATTTATTCTATATGGTTTATAGTTGATCACTATCATCTTTGTCACTATATTGATTGATGTATGTTCATCCATTCACATTTGCACTCGTCACCTCATTGACAATATTTTTTGGATTTCACTATTATTGCGCAGTCTAATTTTGCACCTTTTTGCACTTAGTCACTTTATTTATAGCGCTGCATATTTGTTTTATGGATTTTTGAGGATTAAGGGGTTTTATCCATTTATGCTAGCAGCTTATTTGTTCTGTGCGCTCACTCATTTCGCTTATTTTTATTATATATTTTATGAAAGCAGAGACCCTAAAGAATAAAATAGTTGTAGTTCCAATTTTTCATGTCGCACGATATTACCGCAAAAGGTCTAGGAAATGCAAAAGTCCACAGAAGCCACGGAGTCTCTTGCGTCTAGCCACATATCCCAGATTTTACCAAATTTGTGTGGACAACCTCTTGACTCAAACAAATTTATACAATGGGATCATTTTGTTAACTATATGCTTCCAGAAATCAGATGTAGCTTGTGGAGACTTCCATTTGAGAAGAATTACTTTACATGCATAAAAAATTAGTAATCCCAGCAAAGTTCTCATAGCTCCAGCCATGGCTAGACGAGGACTAAACCTAACATGCATACATCCACCTTTAGGGTACAGAGATCATCATTACTGACTTTGTACATGGAGTTACCTCCAAGCAAAAAGATTAAATTGCTGGGCAATCCCAAAACACATGTAGGAATGTCACTGGATCTTCGGGGCAATGCCAAAATGTAGCGGAGGGGGAGGGATAAATCCTATGGAGTTTTTCGGGGGTGAAATATATTCTATGTAGTATTTTAAACCGGACTAAGCGATCTCTAGTTGACACCAATGACTGCATGAGATACTCCCAGATGTACTTCCAATCCTCAGTATCTAGCTCAGGTACCTCCTCCTACCAGCAGGAGAGCAGCCTATCTAGGCTTTCATGAACCGTCAGTAACAGAAATTTATATATACTAGACAATGATTTCACCAAATCGTCTGTATGCAATAAACATTCAAGTCCTGACATCTCTAAAGACATGGGTTAGTTACCAAACTGCTGCTGGAATGCATTACGTAGTTGGAGATACCTGAAAACCTCACAAATTTGTGGAAGATATTTGATCCCTTTAGACGCCCAGACATTAGGATCTGGACATCTGTAGAATTCATTAAGATGGGGATTCAGCCACAAAGACGTGTGTGGTGACCACTGGTTTGGGTTGGCAGGATGATACAATTGTCAAGCCTTAAAAAAAAAGTGATTTCGTGGAAATGGGTAAGGAACCAAAGCCCCTTTATATTGCAGGTTTTTCAATGCCTCAAAAGGAACCAAGATGTGGAACCTCAAGCACCACAGCAGCATTGCTCTCATCCGCCACCAGCCAGTTATAAGCAGAGCAGCAATATAGTAGGTATATAACCTAGGGCACGCTGGAGGGTAGCCGCTGTGTCCAGGGCCACTGGAGGGTAGCCAGTTTAAACCTGGACTGTCCAGAGTCCCAAATAAAGGAGGACATGGCCAAATCAAATTATTTACAATATTTCCTTGGGATCCATACCAGAACATGGTGTAAAATGTACAAAAAAGAAGGGAGCAGTTTCATTTTAAGATTTATTTTTCCTATGAGAGAGGGGGGAAGGGGTGCCTAAGCGGTCAAGCATTGCTTTGCTTTTTGCAATAGGGTTAAGAGGTTCAAGAAGCAATAATCAGAGATCCGGGGAGAAACCACCTCCCCCAAATATTTAGCAGAGAAAGTTCAATCTAAAGACAACTCTGGGTCTACTAGATCCTGTGCTTTATGGTCTATGGGTAAAATTTGTGACTTATCCCAGTTAACCTTCAAGCCGGATAAGAGGTAAAAGGAGTTAAAGGAGATTAAATTAAGTGCTTCCTCAAGGGAAGGCATGGGGTCATTAGGAAATAAGACGAAATCATTGGCATACAGTGCTACCTTCTCTGTGGTGGGGCCCTCTGGGATTCCTTTAATGAGAGGATTATTACGGACAGCCTGAGCAATGGGTTCCATGATTAATGCAAATAAGGCTGGAGAGAGGGGATATCGTTGTCTCATCCCCCTACCAATGGGAAACCGATCCGAAAGGGCTCCCCCCAAATTAATTTGTGCCAATGGTGATTTATAAAGGATGTTAATCCATCTACAGAAGTGTGGTCCAAACCCCATCACCTTCAAAACAGCCGCCATATAAACCCAATCAACCGAATCGAAAGCTTTGGCTACATCTAAAAAAAACAAGGATTCGTGAGACAGAGTAATTTGTGGGAAGTTGTATATGAGTAAAAATGCTCCGAAGATTAATATCCATGGTTTTTCCAGGTATGAAACCAGTTTGATCTATGCTGAGTAAAGCTCCTTTCACACGGGCGATTAGATTTAACTATCTTATTATTTATCTATGGATAATATTGCCTGCTGCTATCATCTGCAACACTCACTATTTCTGCAAAGTATTCCTTCCAGGGTGGATAAAAATCAATGATTTTTTTAAAAAAATTAAAAAAAAAAAGAAAATCGGATTTTTTTTTATTTAAATCGGATTTTTTTTTATTTAAAATCAGATTTTTTTTAAATAAAATGCTTTTTGAGGAAAATATATTACCATCCAAAGGTTATTCCATCATGAATTAAGGATTAATTTTTTAATTATGTAGAATAAGGCTGTATATGTTTGATAAATAAATTCCATGAATCCATTCACAATGTCGCTCTCCAGAGGTTTCTGTAAGATTATTGGGCAGTTTCTCTGCCTACAAGATATTATCACAGATGATTGGTTTACTTTTGCAGTTCTCAAAACTGAATGTGACTCAGCGGAGATCACATGCCTCTTCTTCACAGCAAAAATGTTATAACATGAACAGAGCTAAGAAAAAGACCTTCATCCTAACTTCTACAAACCTATGAATACAGAATCAACCCCTTCACTGCTAAGTTTCAAGAAGTTCAGTGAATAGAATAGAAACAATATTTTTCTGATTGTTTGGAGTGGAATAGATCTGCACAAGAAGAAAGTGAAACGAAGTGTGAGGAGGCAGGGGCCGACAGTGCGAGGAGGCAGGGGCCGACAGTGCGCGGAGGGAGGGGCCGACAGTGCGCGGAGGGAGGGGCCGACAGTGCGCGGAGGGAGGGGCCGACAGTCTAAGTTTCTTCAAATATATATATTTTGTTTAGCCAAATTAGTTACCAAACATGGATGTTTAAGCAAATCACATATGCTGGAATGTTATTGTTTCAGTTGAATAAATCTATTTAAATTGTTATTATTAAGGTAATGATTATTTTTCTCCTTCCTAAGTACAACAGAAAAGTTGTCCAAATATGAATGATTAACCTATAAAACTGGGGATAAAAAAACGAATATGAAAAGTTGTTATTCTAAAAATCTTCATCTACTTGTATATTAAAGTTATACCAGCAAGAATTAGTCTTTATGTAGAAAACTAGGATTTACATCAAATCCACCCCGATTCCTTCTATCACTTCTTATCCTGGAGTCATCTAACCTATTTTTTAAATGTTCCATCAGCTATTGTTGGAGGGCAGTCCTGTGGTTTACGCCATACCTGATTATAATAAAAAAATGTAAACACTGAAAAAAACTTTATGGTTTGTAGAGAAATGACGCATGAATCCTGATCCTCAAAGTTCTATGCGATTATGTTTTCCTAGAACCGTCTCAAGCGTACCTGCAATTGTAAGGTGTGCAAGTATTTCAGACAATGGAACGGAAAGTAAAGCAAACCAAGATACAAATGCAGAGACAGTTTCTCCTGATGAAAACCACCTACTCAAGCACCTGTGGTATGTTTCTTTCAAAAATGTCACAATTGTCATGTCACAATCACTCTGTTGTTGACACCTTCAAAAAAATGGCAGCTGGTGTTGGTGCAATGACATATTTGTAGAAAAGCATAATCTGTAATATTATAAATTTATAGGAAAATTTAGATTAGAGAGTCCAGTCAAGTTCCACCACCCATCGAACACGCCGCACTCAGCATGAGCCTCCTATTGAAGAATATTTGAATTGCCTACTTGAAGAATTGAAAAACCAATCGCAAGCTTCTGCCTCACAAGTTGATGATGAATAATTTACTATCGCAGACCCTGATGTGATGTTTTGCAGAATGTTACTGTCTGTAATCAGAGAGGTCCCGTCTGATAAGCGTACTGAAGTTAAAGGGGATTCATGTGCTATATTATGTTCATAGTTTCCTCTTGCAAAGAGCAGCGCCCATTTCCTAGATTTCAGCCCTGGACACTGGGTTTAAATACACCTAGTGGCTCTAAATCACTACCCGGCCATCACTGTTATGATACACCTGCCGCAAGCCACCCTTACTCAGGACCCCTACCGATGTACACACCTTTCCAATCTAAGCAGGGTTTTTAACCACCTCCTGCCCGCCATATAGTCCACTGATGAGCGCAAGGTGGTTCTCTCGTTCCGATAGGACGTCATATGACGTCCTTCCATTCTCACCACGCATGCACGGCTCAGGGAGTGCGCGGCGATCAGCGGTGCGCTGTGTCCCTCGGACACAGCGGATCACCGATCCACAGAAAGAGCCGAAGATGTCGGCTCAGTCATGTGATCAGCTGTGCCCAATCACAGCTGATCACATGTAAACGGGGAAATGCTGGTTATCGACATTTCTCTCCTCTCGAGAGGAGAGCGGATAATCGGCATTCCGCGGAGGGGACATGTACATTGATCATCAGGGCACTGATGATCAGTGTGGCCCCAGAAGTGCCACCTGTCAGTGTCCATCCATGCCACATATCAGTGCCTACCAGTGCACATCAGTACCACATATTAGTGCCCATCTGAGCTGCCTTTCAGTGTCACCCATCAGTGCCAGTCAGTGCTACCTATCAATGCCAATCAGTGCTGCCACTCAGTGCCATCTATCAGTGCCGCCTATCAGTGCTTCCTGTCAATGCCCATCAGTGCCACCTACCAGTGCCTCCTCATCAGTGCCACCTATCAGTGTCCATCAGTGCATCTTATCAGTGGCCATCACTGCAGCCTCATTAGCGCACATCAGTGAAGGGGAAAAATCACTTATTTACAAAATTGTATAACAAAAACTAAGAAAAAAAGTTATGTTTTTTTCAAAATTTTCAGTGGTTTTTGGTTTAAGTAAAAATTAAAAACCCTGAGGTGATTAAATACCACCAAAATAAAGCTCTGTGTCAAAAAAATGATTGCCCTGTAGGCAGGAAGGGGGTAGAGGTGCCCTGTAGGCAGGAAGGGGGTAGAGGTGCCCTGTAGGCAGGAAGGGGGTAGAGGTGCCCTGTAGGCAGGGAAAGGGGGGTAGAAGTGCCCTGTAGGCAGGAAGGGGTAGAAGTGTCCTGTAGGGAGGAAAGGGGGTTTGAAGTGCCTGAGGCAGGAAGGGGGGAGAAGTGCCCGGTAGGCAGGAAGGGGTAAAGTCCCGGGAGGCAGGAAGGGGGAAATGCCCCCTAGGGGAGGAAGGGGGTAGAAGTGCCCGAGGAGGGAAGGGGGGAGAAGTGCCCTGTAGGCGGAAAAGGGGGAAAGTGCCCTGTAGGGGAGGAGGGGAGAAGTGCCTGTAAAGGGGGGGGGGTAAATGCCCTGTAGGCAGGAAGGGGGAGAATCCCTGTAGGGGAGGAAGGGGGGAGAATGTCCGTAGGCAGGGAAGGGGGGAGAAGGCCCCGTAGGAGGAAGGGGGGTC